GTGACCCAGATTCGTGAAAGTTAATCAAAATCGCCAGGGGGTGAAATCTTCCATGGCGCGTCTGTATGTCTGTGTGTGAGGTTTGTTTGAGACGCACACAGACACAAACATTACCTTTTGCCTCCTTGAGAGGCTCACCGAGCATCATAGAGCAGCCATGCGAGAGTCATGCATACATCACCTTCCAGACTTATGCTTCCAATCACAGAATCAGACTTTTATTTATCCACGAGAAATCCGATGAGATATGAAGCTCTTCTTCACAGATCTCGGCATTTTTCACACATGTCCAGAATCTGATCAGAATTTTGTTTAAACAGACTTGGTATGGGTTTTGCCCTTTTGAGGCTCATCATTCTTGTGCTAAACAAATACGCTGGGCATATCAGATAAAGCACAGCGCAACTAATAGATTTAACACTTCGTATTCGCGACAAATATTGTCCACGAGATTTTTGTGTTAGATCACATAAATGTGAACGTGTCGTACACTCCCCACAGATAATTACTAGGGTTGTCACGCGAACAAAACGTGCCAATTTTCTATCACCTCAGCACGCCGGGCGTGTGTTAGATAGCAAGCCCACGACACGTGTCCTATTTAGTACAATATTTCGCTAGTGTTTGCAAGCAGCATCATCAAGTGTTTTGCCAGACTTGTGAAGATGTCTTCCTGGTTCTTTTTTAATAGGGTAAGCTGATATCATCACTGTGCTCCTGCACGTGAGGACACGGGGGGTTTATGTACTCATATACATTTTATAATGAACTATGTATGAAATTATACATGTTACTGGTTAGGTTAGTCAAAGTTAATCAGTATAATGTCATGAATAGGCATGCAATTAACTGTGTTGTGTGTGGGAGCGGTAGCGTGCGTGTTGGTGTGGTTTTGTGTTGTTTGCAGTCCACGTGTTTATATTTTTTTTTTTTATTTCAGTGTGGTGTTATGTGCATGGCACGTTAAGGTTGTGGCTGGGTAACCACACACGGTGCGTCTTTAGCGTGGCTCCCTAGGGCGTATGGCTCCCTAGGGCGTATGGCTACCTAGGGCGTATGGCTCCCTAGGGCGTATGGCTCCCTAGGGCGTATGGCTCCCTAGGGCGTATGGCTCCCTAGGACGTATGGCTCCCTAGGGCGTATGGCTACCTAGGGCGTATGGCTACCTAGGGCGTATGGCTCCCTAGGGCGTATGTCTACCTAGGGCGTATGGCTACCTAGGGCGTATGGCTACCTAGGGCGTATGGCTCCCTAGGGCGTATGGCTCCCTAGGGCGTATGGCTCCCTAGGGCGTATGGCTCCCTAGGGCGTATGGCTACCTAGGGCGTATGGCTACCTAGGGCGTATGGCTACCTAGGGCGTATGGCTCCCTAGGGCGTATGGCTCCCTAGGGCGTATGGCTCCCTAGGGCGTATGGCTCCCTAGGGCGTATGGCTACCTAGGGCGTATGGCTCCCTAGGGCGTATGGCTACCTAGGGCGTATGGCTACCTAGGGCGTATGGCTCTCTAGGGCGTATGGCTCCCTAGGGCGTATGGCTCCCTAGGGCGTATGGCTACCTAGGGCGTATGGCTACCTAGGGCGTATGGCTACCTAGGGCGTATGGCTCCCTAGGGCGTATGGCTCCCTAGGGCGTATGGCTCCGTAGGGCATATGGCTCCCTAGGGCGTATGGCTACCTAGGGCGTATGGCTCCCTAGGGCGTATGGCTACCTAGGGCGTATGGCTACCTAGGGCGTATGGCTCCCTTGGGCGTATGGCTACCTAGGGCGTATGGCTACCTAGGGCGTATGGCTACCTAGGGCGTATGACTACCTAGGGCGTATGGCTCCCTTTGGCGTATGGCTACCTAGGGCGTATGGCTACCTAGGGCGTATGACTACCTAGGGCGTATGGCTCCCTTTGGCGTATGACTACCTAGGGCGTATGGCTACCTAGGGCGTATGGCTACCTAGGGCGTATGGCTCCCTTTGGCGTATGACTACCTAGGGCGTATGGCTACCTAGGGCGTATGGCTCCCTTTGGCGTATGGCTACCTAGGGCGTATGGCTACCTAGGGCGTATGGCTACCTAGGGCGTATGACTACCTAGGGCGTATGGCTCCCTTTGGCGTATGACTACCTAGGGCGTGTGGGTATCTAGGGCGTATGACTACCTAGGGCGTATGGCTCCCTTTGGCGTATGACTACCTAGGGCGTATGGCTACCTAGGGCGTATGACTCCCTTTGGCGTATGGCTACCTAGGGCATATGGCTACCTAGGGCGTATGGCTCCCTTTGGCGTATGGCTACCTAGGGCGTATGGCTCCCTTTGGCGTATGACTACCTAGGGCGTATGGCTCCCTTTGGCGTATGAATTCCTAGGGCGTATGGCTCCCTAGGGCGTGTGGGTACCTAGGGCGTATGGCTACCTAGGGCGTGTGGGTACCTAGGGCGTATGGCTCCCTAGGGCGTATGGCTCCCTAGGGCGTATGGCTCCCTAGGGCGTATGGCTACCTAGGGCGTATGGCTACCTAGGGCGTATGGCTCCCTAGGGCGTATGGCTACCTAGGGCGTATGGCTACCTAGGGCGTATGGCTCCCTAGGGCGTATGGCTCCCTAGGGCGTATGGCTCCCTAGGGCGTATGGCTCCCTAGGGCGTATGGCTACCTAGGGCGTATGGCTACCTAGGGCGTATGGCTACCTAGGGCGTATGGCTCCCTAGGGCGTATGGCTCCCTAGGGCGTATGGCTCCCTAGGGCGTATGGCTCCCTCGGGCGTATGGCTCCCTAGGGCGTATGGCTCCCTAGGGCGTATGGCTCCCTCGGGCGTATGGCTCCCTAGGGCGTATGGCTCCCTAGGGCGTATGGCTACCTAGGGCGTATGGCTACCTAGGGCGTATGGCTCCCTAGGGCGTTTGGCTACCTAGGGCGTATGGCTACCTAGGGCGTATGGCTCCCTAGGGCGTATGGCTCCCTAGGGCGTATGGCTCCCTAGGGCGTATGGCTACCTAGGGCGTATGGCTCCCTAGGGCGTATGGCTACCTAGGGCGTATGGCTACCTAGGGCGTATGGCTACCTAGGGCGTATGGCTCCCTAGGGCGTATGGCTCCCTAGGGCGTATGGCTCCCTAGGGCGTATGGCTCCCTAGGGCGTATGGCTCCCTCGGGCGTATGGCTCCCTAGGGCGTATGGCTCCCTCGGGCGTATGGCTCCCTAGGGCGTATGGCTACCTAGGGCGTATGGCTCCCTTGGGCGTATGGCTCCCTAGGGCGTGTGGGTACCTACGGCGCCACACGCTGAAGACCCCCACCATGTGTGGTTCCCCAGCCACAACCTTCACTTCACGGTGCCATTGGTCTCTTTTAGACATTACACTGCGTCGCTGCTGGTAGCTATTTTCCATTCTGTGTGCCCCACATTATGCAGATACATTCAACCGGAGTTTTCTGGAGCATTTATCTAATTATGGATTATCTACCAAGACCACACTGTCTACTTAGACCCTCCATGGACGTATCCCTGCTAACCATGACCCTCTCCTATCTCCTCGCCTCCACATGCACGGGATTCATTGGTTTAGAGTTATTTTTAATTTATAGCCCTTTAGTAATCTACAGCTTCGATTAAGTCCTAAATATGTCATTTCGGTCTTGAGGGTTATTTGACCATGCTCCACCACGCTGGTCAATGTGGACTGTTGAAGTGTGGGGTCCTTTGACAAATCGCCATTGATGTTATTCAATGACCATGGCCAGGAATTAAACTCGGTTCGCCTGCATTTTAGCTTGGCGTGCCAATCACTCCTCCACAACTGCCCACCCGAGGGTCATCGTAATGATTAGGTAGGGCAGGGTAGGCCTTGCTTGCAGGAGGCATTGCAAGGGCGATCTTAGTTCAAATAGCAGTGTGAGATATTGGGCATTTGAATGTATTGAAGCCAGCTTGACACCATAAACTCAGTTTCACGTAATTGTAGAATGATTCACAGGGCAGAGTAATGCTAAAGAGCTACACCTTGTACCCATTATTAATGTCTTCAGGCCACTGCCGTATCGGAACTACCTCGAATTTATACCACAGTCACAGACCTTCGCTAACGCCGGCCGGCATCACTTACAAATCTTGGCTCAACGCTCACTTGACACGCAGCCACACCAGTGCTCCGTTAACAGGATACTGAACTGCCAATGGAGCTGCAAGATTGGGCAATGGACCAGGCAGGGCAGGTGGGCGTCACGCAGTGTCCTGCCAAGACAGGCCTGGAGAGAGAGGCTGCTTGAGCCGCAGGCGCAGACTTGGCATCATTGTGGGCCTCTTAGCATTGTTAATGGCGGCTGCTTTCTATACCAGTCCCATTGGGACACCCGTGTAAATCGGGTGTTGTCATCTCACAGCGTCCAGTTCTTGGTTTTATACTTTAAAAGAAAAACAGTGCTGCCTGAAGGGCATCGCAAAAACGTGTTGTGTGCCTTCAAGTAAATGTTGCCTTTAAGTAAAAGACACTGTAGTGGCGTTAACCAGATGAACCTGCTGTGTGCCGGTCCCGCAGTTCAAAGCCGATCGTGAACAGCACGTGCAAGTTGCAGGCTGCAACTCTGTGGCCCCAGCATTGAGCACCAAAATATGATCTTCAAATAAGATGTTTGTATTCAAAAGCTATCACCTCGTCAAAAAATATTTGATCGGCATGCTTATGGCGGCTATGACTATGATTGCTCATGACATCACATTTTCAGCAACCAGCCTATTGCCTAAGAAGTCACGCTGGCCACAGCAAGGAGGTTGTAGTCATTATCAGTATGAACTTGTCCCAGCCATCACGTCCCTGAGAGACCAGGCAGAATTAAACGAGGTCACCTTCAAAGATTATCATTACTCTGAGATGCTCAAGTCGACTGCCTGTGATCATGCCTTAAGGAGGTATATTCTTAATGCTGTTTTTTTCTTTGGTTTTAAGCCATTCTTTATGGGTTTTTTCTGTGCATATGCTGTGAGCATTAACGGTGGACTCAATGTATTCCCAGATCTCAACGCGTTCCCTGTGGAAAGGAGAGAGCAGTCAAGGGTACGGGAGAACATGGGGGCCTACCTGCTCTGTGCTCCACCTCCACATTCGCCAGGTGATAAATAAAGCACCCAATACAAATACACAACGACAAATACCCCCCATATAGCCTCAACAAACTGCTGGGGCAAGTGCTGTTAGCGAGCACTTATGAAGGCCGAAACAGGGCACATGAGGGTTGGTGACCAGCACCACACCGCACCAGCAACTCATTTGTGGCTGAGTCGACCTACGAGAGGGCTAGGACCGGTTCAGATATTCGTCACCGATATTGGCCGTGAGTGGAAATCAAACTTAGGTCACCCGGTTTGTAGCGCAGCACGCTAACCACTGCACTACCACTGTGGCCAACACCATGGCTGACTGCCAGTGTGGATGTTTATAAACCACACCCTGTACTCATGTAAGGCTATGTTGGTCAAGGAGAAAACCAGTGGAGATAACACTCGCCACTGAAGTTGCCTGTGGCTGGGAATCAAACTCATGTTGTCAGGTTTGTAGCATGGTGCAAAGAAACCACCGTGTCAGCACTCCCCACGCACTTAGTCTGTCTCAACGTTCGATGCATATACCTACTCACGTATTTCAGGAGGGTTCTACTATATTGGGTTTTAATTTTAAGATGTTTTCATCTTATAAGTGAATAACCCGAGTCAACCCAGAGAAGGACGAGGATCGGTTGAGAGATGCCCGACTGCTGATTTTGTGCGTGGCCGTTTCAGTGCGACTCTGCCGGGTGACACTGACACCAGCTCCTGACAGCGGTTGCCTTGGTCATCGCGTGGTTCACTGCACGAGCTGTCACGTCGCCTCCAGTGCCTGTCCCTCCCCCTGCGAACACTTGACACGCACCACACAAGCGCATCGCGGATGTTTGTAGACCTCACCAGGTTGGCATTAATGGCCGAGTGAGCACATGGCATTGCGGAACCCCGCGAGCACTTTGGTGACAACTCCCTTAACCACTTTTGTCTCCACTGCTCTCAGCAGCAAGTGCATTTGGATTCTGCAATCCACTCGTGAGGGTGACTGTCTGTGTGTGTGTGTCTCGTGGGGGTGACTGAGTGTTTGTCTCGTGGGGGTGACTGTCTGTGTGTGTGTCTCGTGGGGGTGACTGAGTGTTTGTCTCGTGGGGGTGACTGTCTGTGTGTCTGTCTCGTGGGGGTGACTGAGTGTTTGTCTCGTGGGGGTGACTGTCTGTGTGTGTGTCTCGTGGGGGTGACTGTCTGTGTGTGTGTCTCGTGGGGGTGACTGTCTGTGTGTGTGTCTCGTGAGGGTGACTGAGTGTTTGTCTCGTGGGGGTGACTGTCTGTGTGTTACTCGTGAGGGTGACTGTCTGTGTGTGTGTCTCGTGGGGGTGACTGTCTGTGTGTGTGTCTCGTGGGGGTGACTGTCTGTGTGTTACTCGTGAGGGTGACTGTCTGTGTGTGTGTCTCGTGGGGGTGACTGTCTGTGTGTGTGTCTCGTGGGGGTGACTGTCTGTGTGTGTGTCTCGTGAGGGTGACTGTCTGTGTGTGTGTCTCGTGAGGGTGACTGTCTGTGTGTGTGACTCGTGAGGGTGACTGTCTGTGTGTGTGTCTCGTGGGGGTGACTGTCTGTGTGTCTGACTCGCTAGGGTGACTGTCTGTGTGTGTGTCTCGTGAGGGTGACTGTCTGTGTGTGTGTCTCGTGAGGGTGACTGTCTGTGTGTGTGTCTCGTGGGGGTGACTGTCTGTGTGTGTGTCTCGTGAGGGTGACTGTCTGTGTGTGTGTCTCGTGAGGGTGACTGTCTGTGTGTGTGTGTCTCGTGGGGGTGACTGAGTGTTTGTCTCGTAGGGGTGACTGTCTGTGTGTTACTCGTGAGGGTGACTGTCTGTGTGTGTGTCTCGTGAGGGTGACTGTCTGTGTGTGTGACTCGTGAGGGTGACTGTCTGTGTGTCTGACTCGTTAGGGTGACTGTCTGTGTGTGTGACTCGTGAGGGTGACTGTGTGTGTGTGTGTCTCGTGGGGGTGACTGTGTGTCTGACTCGCTAGGGTGACTGTCTGTGTGTGTGTCTCGTGGGGGTGACTGTCTGTGTGTGTGTCTCGTGAGGGTGACTGTCTGTGTGTCTGACTCGCTAGGGTGACTGTCTGTGTGTGTGTCTCGTGAGGGTGACTGTCTGTGTGTGTGTCTCGTGGGGGTGACTGTCTGTGTGTGTGTCTCGTGGGGGTGACTGTCTGTGTGTCTGTCTCGTGGGGGTGACTGTCTCTGTGTGTGTGTCTCGTGGGGGTGACTGTCTGTGTGTGTGTCTCGTGAGGGTGACTGTGTGTGTGACTCGTGGGGGTGACTGTCTGTGTGTGTGACTCGTGGAGGTGACTGTCTGTGTGTGTGTCTCGTGAGGGTGACTGTCTGTGTGTGTGACTCGTGGGGGTGACTGTCTGTGTGTGTGACTCGTGGGGGTGACTGTCTGTGTGTGTGTCTCGTGAGGGTGACTGTCTGTGTGTCTGTCTCGTGGGGGTGACTGTCTGTGTGTCTGTCTCGTGAGGGTGACTGTCTGTGTGTGTCTCGTGGGGGTGACTGTCTGTGTGTCTGTCTCGTGAGGGTGACTGTCTGTGTGTGTTTGACTCGTGAGGGTGACTGTCTGTGTGTGTGTCTCGTGGGGGTGACTGTCTGTGTGTCTGACTCGTGAGGGTGACTGTCTGTGTGTCTGACTCGTGAGGGTGATTGTCTGTGTGTGTGTCTCGTGAGGGTGACTGTCTGTGTGTCTGTCTCATAGGGGTGACTGTCTGTGTGTCTGACTCGTGGGGGTGACTGTCTGTGTGTGTCTCGTGGGGGTGACTGTCTGTGTGTCTGTCTCGTGAGGGTGACTGTCTGTGTGTGTGTCTCGTGAGGGTGACTGTCTGTGTGTGTCTCGTGGGGGTGACTGTCTGTGTGTCTGTCTCGTGGGGGTGACTGTCTGTGTGTGTGTCTCGTGAGGGTGACTGTCTGTGTGTGTCTCGTGGGGGTGACTGTCTGTGTGTGTGTCTCGTGGGGGTGACTGTCTGTGTGTCTGTCTCGTGGGGGTGACTGTCTGTGTGTGTGTCTCGTGAGGGTGACTGTCTGTGTGTGTGTCTCGTGAGGGTGACTGTCTGTGTGTGTGACTCGTGGGGGTGACTATCTGTGTGTGTCTCGTGAGGGTGACTGTCTGTGTGTGTGACTCGTGAGGGTGACTGTGTGTGTGACTCGTGGGGGTGACTGTCTGTGTGTGTGTCTCGTGGGGGTGACTGTCTGTGTGTGTGTCTCGTGGGGGTGACTGTCTGTGTGTGTGTCTCGTGGGGGTGACTGTCTGTGTGTGTCTCGTGAGGGTGACTGTCTGTGTGTGTGACTTGTGGGGGTGACTGTCTGTGTGTCTGTCTCGTGGGGGTGACTGTCTGTGTGTGTGTCTCGTGAGGGTGACTGTGTGTGTTACTCGTGGGGGTGACTGTCTGTGTGTGTGTCTCGTGGGGGTGACTGTCTGTGTGTGTGTCTCGTAGGGGTGACTGTCTGTGTGTGTGTCTCGTGGGGGTGACTGTCTGTGTGTGTGTCTCGTGAGGGTGACTGTCTGTGTGTGTGTCTCGTGGGGGTGACTGTCTGTGTGTCTGTCTCGTGGGGGTGACTGTCTGTGTGTGTGTCTCGTGAGGGTGACTGTCTGTGTGTGTGTCTCGTGGGGGTGACTGTCTGTGTGTGTGTCTCGTGGGGGTGACTGTCTGTGTGTGTGTCTCGTGGGGGTGACTGTCTGTGTGTGTGTCTCGTGAGGGTGACTGTCTGTGTGTGTGTCTCGTGGGGGTGACTGTCTGTGTGTGTGTCTCGTGGGGGTGACTGTCTGTGTGTGTGTCTCGTGGGGGTGACTGTCTGTGTGTGTGTCTCGTGGGGGTGACTGTCTGTGTGTGTGACTCGTGGGGGTGACTGTCTGTGTGTGTGTCTCGTGAGGGTGACTGTCTGTGTGTGTGTCTCGTGGGGGTGACTGTCTGTGTGTGTGACTCGTGAGGGTGACTGTCTGTGTGTGTGTCTCGTGAGGGTGACTGTCTGTGTGTGTCTCGTGAGGGTGACTGTCTGTGTGTGTGTCTCGTGGGGGTGACTGTCTGTGTGTGTCTCGTGGGGGTGACTGTCTGTGTGTGTGTCTCGTGGGGGTGACTGACTGTGTGTGTGTCTCGTGGGGGTGACTGTCTGTGTGTCTGTCTCGTGAGGGTGACTGTCTGTGTGTGTGTCTCGCGGGGGTGACTGTCTGTGTGTGTGTCTCGTGAGGGTGACTGTCTGTGTGTGTGTCTCGTGAGGGTGACTGTCTGTGTGTGTGTCTCGTGAGGGTGACTGTCTGTGTGTGTGTCTCGTGAGGGTGACTGTCTGTGTGTGTGTCTCGTGAGGGTGACTGTCTGTGTGTGTGACTCGTGAGGGTGACTGTCTGTGTGTGTGTCTCGTGGGGGTGACTGTCTGTGTGTGTGTCTCGTGGGGGTGACTGTCTGTGTGTGTGTCTCGTGGGGGTGACTGTCTGTGTGTGTGTCTCGTGAGGGTGACTGTCTGTGTGTGTGTCTCGTGAGGGTGACTGTGTGTGACTCGTGAGGGTGACTGTCTGTGTGTGTGTCTCGTTGGGGTGACTGTCTGTGTGTGTGTCTCGTGGGGGTGACTGTCTGTGTGTGTGACTCGTGAGGGTGACTGTCTGTGCGTGTGTCTCGTGAGGGTGACTGTCTGTGTGTCTGTCTCGTGGGGGTGACTGTCTGTGTGTGTGTCTCGTGAGGGTGACTGTGTGTGTGACTCGTGAGGGTGACTGTCTGTGTATGTGTCTCGTTGGGGTGACTGTCTGTGTGTGTGACTCGTGGGGGTGACTCTCTGTGTGTGTGTCTCGTGGGGGTGTCTGTCTGTGTGTGACTGGTGAGGGTGACTGTCTGTGTGTGTGTCTCGTGAGGGTGACTGTCTGTGTGTGTGTCTCGTGAGGGTGACTGTCTGTGTGTCTGTCTCGTGAGGGTTACTGTCTGTGTGTCTGACTCGTGAGGGTGACTGTCTGTGTGTCTGTCTCGTGGGGGTGACTGTCTGTGTGTCTGTCTCGTGGGGGTGACTGTCTGTGTGTGTGTCTCGTGAGGGTG